TTTTGACATTTCCGAAGTATTTTAGAGTTCCTGGGCCTCCCAGGAAGTAACTTTCCTTACTCAACTATAAGGCTGTAAAACCTTATAAGCCAAGTACCAGGCCAGACTTTTTTCCCCAGAGTTTTATAAGCATTAGCTCCATAAAGACCACCTCAGTTCCTTAAAAGTATCTGGTCATACCTGATTGTATGTATCATTCTCAAATATGACACTCCAGTCAAGGCTTCAGGAATATAAGCAATGTTTTCAATTATGTCCTATTATAAGGAAAACAGATTTTTATTGAATCTATGCAAATAACTATATTGCCATGAAAGTAAAAATGCTCAGCAAGAGTTTCTGAATTCTGGCCCTCCACATAGGGAGAAAAGTAACTGTTTCATCTTTGTTCACAAAGGTGGACTTCACCAAATTGCTGTAAGTTATAGCAAATTGAGAGAAAATGGAAAAAGAAAACATTCAAGAACCATCGACATTTCAAACAAAAAGTCATCAAAAAATTATAATCATCCTCCTAAGGTGATTCAGTCTCACATAATTAATTCTTGTTCCATTTGATCTTGGGTTAGCAGTTTTATGAATCCATCAAATTCTTCATTAGTTTGGAAATTACCCAGTCAACTGGCATGGCCTCAGAGTCATTCAAGTGATGGCCTTATTGAGCATTCTCACCTGCAGCTGACTGTAAACACTTTCAGAGAAGAGCCAGGAGTAAAAAACAGTTATCTGTGAATGACAAAGACTTTAAAATGGCCACAGTTAAAGATCTAGTGAGAGGTCATTATAATCGAGGAAATTTATTTTAATGACAAACTATATTTTAATGTAATTATGACTGACAACATGATGCTGAACATATCATTAATATCAAGGGTACTGACAAATTTCTATGAACTTCATACAATTCTGAAATACTTGTATTAATAACATATAGCCATACAAATATAACCTAAATAAGGTTTATCATCATTTCTTACTTGACAATGCTTCCCACACTGCTTAATATAGCAAATAAACCTAACTAGTTTAACATCTCTCTTCTACAGGGAGAGAGAGGAATCTTTTGAGATTTTCCAGGGGCTCTCTAGGAAATCTCAAAGTTAGTTTAGATCAAAATATTATTTAGAATTTGATTTGGGGAAGCATGTGAAAAATGTCAAAAGGCTTGAATACCTGATTAAATAGGATCACAGATTATAAAATACTTAATTATCTATTTAGCCAAAGTGACAATAAAAGATCCTAAAGAAGGATATAGAAGGTTACACAGATAACAAACCCTTAGTTCTTTTGATATTGAGAAAATTTGGTTTTCTTAAGTAATCAAAGACCTGACAAAGACAACATGAAGCACAGGAAATCATTCTGATGCGACACAAAATCTTAGTTCCCCAGGTAGATTACTTAAATGGCAGAGAAAAATCTTTTTACAATTTCTAAATAAGAGCAGACCAATAATTCAAGAAGAATGTCATTCTAGTTTTGCATCAGTATACTTATGATATTAAGGTTCATCCTTGTGTTTTTTCTCTTCCTATAAATAAATCCATTCAATCTTAGTAGACTGAAAATTCCTTTTCCTCAAAACTTCAACAAAATTTTTTTAAATATCCACCCCAGTGTTTCTCCTACTCTTTTCTCCCTTCTCAGTCTGGAATAGCCAGTCATTCTACTTTAGAACAAATTACTTCTTTTTTCCTTTAACAAAAATACATCCTTCATACCTTGTATACTTTTCCTTATCACAAACACATCTTATTTTCCTTGCATACTTTGTAAATTTTTCTTCTTTGTCCTTATTATTCACAGTACTTTCATTTACATAATTGATAAGAATTTCTAATTTTTTTTTTTTTTTT